TGAGGTCTCCCCTCAGCCTTCTCTTCTCCGGGCTAAACAAGCCCAGTTCCCTCAGCCGCTCCTCATCAGGCTTGTTCTCCAGAGCCCTCCCCATCCTCGTGGCTCTTCTCTGAACACGCTACAGAATCTCAACATCCTTCTTACAGTGAGGGGCCCACAAATGAACACAGCACTTTCCCTCGGGACTCTCTGCCATCATTTTGCTCTTCACATCAGGCAGTTTCCTGCGTTTCTTGTGCAGCACCAGGAGGCTGCAGGGACAAGAAAAAAAAAAATAAATAAATTCCTCAATTATGCTCAAAATCTTCCAGTTCCCTCCAATTTGTGTCTCAGGGCTCGCCCACACGCACCGCGTTTCCTGCAGTGATGCTCGCACGCTGTGCTCCCACCAAGTCACCCTCGCTGGTTTTCTGCCTAATCCCCTTTCCCAGGAGCATAGGTCTACAGGCCTGTCTATAAGGAGGGGTGCGACGCTCCGTTCATCTATTTTCCCATCTTAAAAAAAAACCCTAAAAACCCGCGTTCCCGGAACGACGGCTAAGGGGGAGCAAAGCCACCACTTGGCACACATCAGCCCGTTTGCTGGAAATGTTTATAATCTGAGCCTAAGCCAGCCCTGGTCGTATTTACTGTAGGGGTCAGAGCTCAGCGAGCGAGGACTGATACGAGTGTGAGAAGGGCTGGCGAGGAGGGGCAGACCCTGCGCAAAGAAAGCGTGCTCGTAACGCTGGGGCAGGCGATGCTCATCGGAGAGACCCAAGCAAAGAATAAGAGAAAGGTTTATAAAATCTTAAAGTCATTTGGCTGGGAAAGACCTTGAAGATCATCGAGTCCAACCATAACCTGTCCACTGCTAAAGCATTAGGGTTAAAAATTACTCAGCGCTCGCGTCCCCGTAGAACAGGAGCACGGTGGCTACATAAAATCACCGCATTGACACCAACTCTGGCTTCATTTCCTCCCGGTGAGGGTTGCACCATCCGTCCGTCCATGCACAGCTCCGAACCCAGCGATGGGACTTGGAGGCCGCTGCTCTGGAGGTTTCACCCCCCCACCAGCCCCACAGCATCCCCTGGGGCTGCTCCAGACTCTGCGGATCCAGGGCAGGGACGGAGGGACACGGTACCCATCCTGCTGTGCTTTGGGAAGTCTCAAAAACACAGCGTTTGTTGATCATACGCGGTTTTCTTTGGCTGTTGAGCTGGTTAAAAATACCCCAGCTGCCTGGCAGGACAGATTGCGGCGCAGAAGGGATGTCTCCTCCTTGGCAGACTGTCCCTCCTCCGTGCCACCAAGGGAGCAGCCGACTGCATCGGCACCAGCAGCTCCAACGTCACCAGCGGTGACACAACGTGTTCCAAGTCAGACATCGACCGAGGCTCAAAAATAGCCCTGAGGAGAAGAGCTGGGCAGGACTTGGACACAGAGCAGCTGCTCCAATGGCAGCTTCCCCAGAGGACAGCACAAACCCAGAGCCGGGCAGCTCTCCTGCCTTGGGGTCTCCATTGGGCCTGTGCCTTAGAGGGAATCCCTGTCCTGATGAGCTCCAGGGATGAGCCTGTGGCCCCCAGGGTTGGACACCCCAGATTTGGCAACTCCTCTTGCTGCTGGTCCCTGCAGTGTGTGTGTGTGTGGTTGTGGTTGAGGGTGATGGAGCTGGTGGGGTCAGAACCACAATCCTGGCCCTGAAAGGTGTGGGTGGACGCTGGAGGAGCACGACACGGGCTGGGCTTTGAGTGGTGGTGGGAAAAAGTCACAGAATCGTGAAATCATTTCTATGTGCCCAGCTTTGGAGTCAACATGAGAAGGGCATGGAGCTGTTGGAGTGGGTCTAGAGGGTCCATGGAGA